GGGCAGAAGATGAGGGAGGGTAAGGGGGTGGGGGTGGGGGTGGGGAAGAGGACAGCCTTGGCCCTGCTGCCTCCCTCCCGACCACAGCCTTGACCATTCCTTCCTACAGCCCATTCTAGCTCCCTCCTAAGCAGAGATGAAGCGTAATTAGCGTTTTGTATGTCTTTTCAGAGTTAAAGTTATATTAACATATCAATTACATGGGAACAGTTATTCTAATGCAATTTTTTCTCTGAATACATACACACACACACACACACACACACACATATTTAAGGGTTTTTTTTTTTTAAGTTTTTTTATTTTGAGAGAGAGAGTCATATAAACATGATCGCAAGCAGGGGAGGGGCAGAGAGCAGGTGACACAGGGTTCAATCTCACAAACGTGGGATCATGACCTGAGCCGAAAGCAGGAGTTGGACGCTTAACCGACTGAGCCACCCGGGCACGCCTAAAATTTTATTTTTAAGGATTTCTGCTCAGGTCATGATCTCATGGTTTGTGAGTTTGAGCCCCGTGTCTGGCTTTGTGCTGACAGTGCTGAGCCTGCTTGGGATTCTCCATCTCCCCCTCTCTCTGCACCCCCATCCCTGTGCACGCGCGCACATGCACCCACTCACTCTCTCTCTCTCTCTAAAATGAATAAACGCTTTAAGATTTTTTAAATAAGTAAGATTTTATTTTTAAGTGATCTGTACACCCTATGTGGGGCTCAAACTCACAACCCCAAGATCAAGAGTCACGCACTTCACTAACTGAGCCAGCCAGGCGCCTCCACATAATATTTTAAATAGATGCATAAATTATATTGTATGAGTGTGCCATGATTTATATAACCAGCCCCCAAATAGACTGGGTAGATAGGGTTCCTTTTTTAGAAAATTATTTTAAATAGCAATATGATGAACATCTTTGTGTACTTGCCAGAGAGTTTCCTTAGGTGCTATTCTGACCCGTGGGTTTGTCTGTGTAAACCAAATACCTCAACTGAGATCGCCCTGCTCTTAAGACCGACAGAGATTGCCTCAAATGCCACACATGGATCTGGGGGCTCAAAATCCTCGGAGAGCTTATGTTCTCACAGTCACTGCCAGCGTCAGACTCCTGCTTGGCCTTAACTGTTAGAAATGTGACCCGACCCAGGGTATCCTGGTCTCATCCTGAAGCATATCTATCCCCAAATGGAACTCGGCCTTAATTTCAATCCTAATAAAAAACAAAGCATGCTTTACCCCAAATTTGGCAAACCCAGGAATCTCCTTCACCGTAATGCAAACAACTTACAGTTGGATATTAGGCATCTGCGTCCTAAGCCCTTGGGGGTGCCTGGTTGGCTCAGTCGGTTGAGCATGTCTGACTCTTGATTTCAGCTCAGGTCATGATCTCACTTAGGATCAAGCCTCGAGTCAGGTTCCACACTGAGCATAGAGCCTGCTTGGGATTCTCTCTGTCTCTGTCTCTCTCTCTCTTTCTCTCTGCCCCCTTCCCCCACTCTCGTGTGTGTGCTCTCTCTCTCTCTCTCAAATAAAAATTTAAAAACTTAAGTAAAATAAAATAAAAGGCTGTCCCAATTTATATTGAGTGAGCCCCTCTCCATAGGTACAGCCCTGCACAGCGTTCGTGCTCAGCCAAGGGTGCAGAGGGAAGGCCAGGGTCAATTGCATGCCACAACCTGCCCTGTGGATATCACATACCCTGCCCCCAACACTGCCTCCTCTCCCCAGGGTTCTGGGTGCTGACGCCTAAGACGAAGCAGACGGCACCCCTCACCATCGCTGCTGCCCGAGGCTACACTGACTGTGCCCGCCACCTGATCCGGCAGGGAGCTGAGCTGGACGCCCGGGTCGGAGGCCGGGCAGCCTTGCATGAGGCCTGTGCCCGGGCCCAGTCTGACTGTGTGCAGCTGCTGCTGACCTTCGGTGCCAAGGCCAACGTGTTGTCCGAGGAGGGCACGACCCCCTTGCACCTCTGCACAGCCCCTGAGTCCTTGCAGTAGGTGCCCAGGGGAGGGGTGTGTGTGTGTGTGTGTGTGTGTGTGTGTGTGTCCAGCTCACATGGCCGGAAGAAGGGGAAACACCTCACATACACATGTCCTCACAACAACCTGGGAGACAGGTGTCATCCTATGGGTGAGAAAACTGAGGCTCAAAAAGTTTTAGTAACTTGTCCGTCATGTGAGCTAAGCCCTGGGGGCAGAAGCCTTGTTGTTTTTTTTGGAAAACCTATCCCAACCACAGTCTCTTAGCCTCTATGCATTCTCTGTAGCCAAATTCCTACCTGTTTTAAGGCAGGCATCAAGAAAGATGTAGCCCAGTGTTTCCCAACCTTAGTACAAGCCCCGGCCACACACACACCTCCTCCTCCCAAATTTTAAGATCGACAAGTTTTTCCAGGGGTCGAGGGTTGTGCCAAATGAGTGAAGGGGAGGGGGAGATACAGGTCTCCAGTTACGGAATGGATAAGGCAGGGGAATAAAAGGCACAGCATAAGGAACATCGTTATAGCGATGTAACAGGACAGACGGTAGCTACACTTGTGAACATAGAATAATGTATAAACTTGTCAAATCACTAAGTTGTACACTTGAAATTAATGTAACATTGTGTGTCAACTATACT